CCTGTTGGGTGGGTAGAGTGCCTTGTTCTCCCAAGTGCAAAGTGTTCTCATGAATCTTCTCAAGGAGAAAGGGGTGATGCTTTGCTCCAATTCACCCTTGAGGACTCCCATCTTATCTCAAAGTCCTAGAGACCTAAAGCTTTACAACAACCTGAAGCCCTGTGGTTGAGCCTAGAAAAACAAAAGGGGCTACTCCATCCCCTGCCAAGTTTGTAGAGAAACAGTCAAAAGACAGAATCTGAGCCCAGTGTGGAGTTTCTCTGAAATCAGAGAAAGGGGGAAATCAGGACCAAGTGCTCACCGTGCAGTTTCGGACATCTATGTTGGGAAATTTCTTGTTGATGTATTTGAGAGACGATTCCATGGTCTTGTCCAGTAAGAAAGGTGGTTTGGATTTGGGGTCTGAACAAGTCTGCACAGATAAACCACGCAATACCAATACGTTACTCTTTCTCCTGCCCCTTGGAAACACACCTCTTCCTGCATCATTGATTCTCATAATCTCTTTTAGGAAATGGTAATCCAACAATTAATTATAAAAGCAGGTGAGTAAGTCGTGAGCATGTTCTAAGACATTAAGCCAACTATCTCAGATCTTAATAAACAACCTGGGATCTTATCTTGCTAGGTAAAGCTTAACATTTACTGTTTCCAGCACAAAGAGGAAGCAGTTTCCCCGCCCCTCAACTGAATCCGGAAGGCATGAGAAAACCAGCTGCTCAGGAGTTACGCTTTGTGGAGACTCATTGTCACGGTTATGTCCATTATATTAGAATCTTATCCAGGGGACATTTATAGGAGACTAGAGGACTCAGAATCTGTGTTTCTGGTGACTTGTTGTATTAAAATGTACAGAAGTACCCTCCCTCCCACAATTTTCTCTTCCAGGAACTTCCCACATTTACCCCCCACCCCTTTTTTTTTCAGGTTGTTGTTTGTTTTGGCACTGGGGACTGAACCCAGTAGCACCTTACCACTGAACTATACCCCCAGACCTTTTTATTTCCATTTTGAGACAGTCTCACTAAATTGCCCAGACTGACTTCTAACTTGCAATCCTCTTGCCTCAGCCCCCAGAGTCACTGGGATTACAGGCAAAGGGCACGGTGCCCAGCTCAATGCCCCTTCTTTTATCTCTTTTCTGCCTTTGGCTTAACCAGGCCCTGGCTCACCATCAGCTTCTCCCAGTACCACACTTCCTATCCTAAGCACTCACACAGACAAACAGAGCATGAATTGCCCCCAAAGCACCTTGGAAATCACCTATCCCTTTTTTTTTTTGGAACTGGGGGTCGAACCCAGGGCTTTGCGAATGCAAGGCAGACGCTTTGCCACTGAGCTACATCCCAGCCCCACCTATCCCTTTTTTATCTATTTACTTTTTTTCCTTTTAGGGAAATGCTTCCACAAAAAAAGTGTTTGCCAGAGTCCCACCTTAAGATCTCCTTAGAGTGTGAGGGGTCAACAACAAATAATAAGGCCCAAAATTCTAAACCTCAGACCTTTATATAAATCACTCAGAACAGAATTATTCTCCCTACCACCCCCACCCCAACCTGTACCCTCAGCCCCGGGGCAAAGCAGGTTCTTTCACTGGGGTGAGAATCATACCTAGAAATCGGAAAGCTTGAAAGAAAGCCCCCTTCTGCCTCCCTGAACTGGCCTACAGCATCTGGGTAGATGAAGGCCAGTCAAAGCAGTAAGAGGAGGGGATCTAACCGCTGGACCTTCTGGCCTAAGGCTTCCCCGCCCTACTTCTGCCCGAGTCAGTAGCACCAGTTCCATCTCTTGCCTACCTTCTTGATGTTGTACATACGGATGAGAACCCCCTGACCTCGATCATTCAGGATGGTGAGCTTCTCCGCTAATTTATGCTGGTAAGCAGAGGTCAAAGACATGATGGCCTCTGAAAGAGACGAGCATCCGAATAGCAATGCCTGATCTCCCCAAATACTTTCAGCTTGTGTGGTGACACCCTCCCTCTGGGTGGAAGGACCCAGCCTGGTTGGTGCGCCCGTCTTCCTGTTGCCTCTGCAATTGGCTGATGGGTGAAAGCAGTTATAATGGCTCTTAAGCCCTCAGAGCCTTCTTGCTCTTCCTCTTGCACACTCAGCAGAGGACACTTCCTCTTTTGGTAAGGCAGTGAAGTGGGTGGAGGCTGGGGAAAGGCCCTTCACAGTGTGGCACCAATCTTTTTGGGTTTACTCCTCCATAAGAGTCCTAGAAAAAGCCCTACACCACATTAAGAAGTACCTAGTACCCCACCCCACACGCCTCTATTCTGTCCCTCTTTTATATCCCATCAAAAATGGCTCTAAGCCAGGCGTGGTGGCACCCACCTGCAATCCCAGCAACTGGAGAAACTGAGAAAGAGGATCACAAGTTCAAGAACAGTCTCAGGAATTTAGTAAAATAAAAAATAAAAAAGGCTGAGGATGTGGTTCAATGGTTATGTGCCCCGGGTTCAATCCCTGGTATCCAAAAAAAAAAAAGACTCTGTTATTTTTTATTGAACCTTGGGCACTATCAGATTTTAGGGCACTATCAGATTTTAGGACCCAGGTCAAATCCTATCTCCCCCTAGCTACACCATTCAATGTAAAATATTATATTGTATTACATTGTGTATATATATATATATATATACACACACACACACACACACACACACACACATACATACACACACACACACACACATATATATATACACAAAATATTTCTTGTTAATTTTGTCTAATCTCTCCCAACTACATCATATGCTTCTTAATGACAGAAATTGTACCTAATATTCTTTATATCCTTCACAAGGCTCTAGTACAGTGATTCACAAAGTGTGATCCAGCAGCATCAGCATCTGCTAGAAACTTGTTAGACATGCAAATTTTCTGATCTACTAAACTCAAAACTCTGGGGTGGGTTCAGCACTAGTTGAACAACACTGCAGGTGATTCCAATGCACCCTCAAGTTTGAGAACCACAGTTATAGTACAGTGATACTTAAAGGTGTTTAAGAAATCAAGATCAACCCCTGTCAGGTTCTGATTGGTGGTTCTATGAGAGAGCCAATAAATCCTGGGGGTAAGAAAAAAAGAGAGATGATCAACATTATTATTTAGAAATTTAACATGTTTTCTCCCAAGAGAATTTCTTCTTTAAAGAAACAGAAAGATGGGGCTGGGGATGTGGCTCAAGCGGTAGCGCGCTCGCCTGGCATGCGTGCGGCCTGGGTTCGATCCTCAGCACCACATACCAACAAAGATGTTGTGTCTGCTGAGAACTGAAAAATAAATGTTAAAAATTCTCTCACTCTCTCTCTCTCCTCTCTCACTCTCTCTTTAAAAAAAAAAAAAAGAAAGAAAGAAACAGAAAGATGGCAATGCTTAACATGTTAAATTTCAAACATCTCTAAGGGAGACTTTGTTTTTTGTTGTTGTTTTTGTTTTTTTATTTGTTTGTTTTGGGGTCTTTTGGTACTGGAGATTGAACCCAGGGACACTTAAGCACTGAACCACATTCCCAGCCCTTTTTATTTTTTTATTTTGAGACAGGGTCTCCCTAAGTTGCTTAGTGCCTCATTAAATTTTTGAGGCTGGCCTTGAATTTACAATCCTCCTGCCTCAGCCTCCTAGTCACTGAGATTACAGGCAGGAGCCCCCATACCCAACTATGAGACTTTGAATGTTATGCAAAAAGAATCTATCTTCCAGTATATTTAACAGCAGGCCTGGTATAATGTGATATTGGCCCTGAAGATTTGAGTCACCTGTTGTTATCAAACAAAACCCAGTTTCTACTGAAGACATTTGTGGAACTTCTATTTGTTTTTTATCTTGATAAGGAAGAATAAAGGGCAGGCTGTAAGATGCTAACATGTAGGCCACTGAACAACAGCAGAGTGCCAGCCTTCTCTGGGTCAGTATTGTTCTATTGGTTCTTTCTCACTTGCATTTCTTTATCCAAAAATTTGGTTGAAGACTCACCATACCAAGACAATCTTGTTTATTCTTCAGGATCTAGCTCAATAGTCCCAGCTCCAGCCCTTGCTGAACTCCAATAGCACTTGATCTATATTATATCCTTCACACCTAAATCAAGTTCTGACTTTAATTGTTCATTTTATATTACACTGCCTCCCCAATGAAAGTGAAAGATTCTTGGAGCCTGGAAAAATTTAGTCTCCTGTACTTGGTATATAGGAGAAGTCTACATTTTGCTGTCAGTCAGAATTGGGCTCAAACATAGTTGAGTACAATGGGCTGAGCCTTATGACACGGAGGCTAAGAGCCCAGGTTCTGGTACCAGGTAGCTTGAGTTCTTATTCCAATCTGATCATTTACCAGCAAACTCAGGTTCCCTGCATGTAAAATAGAGATGATATTGATAATAGTTCTTATCTTATGGGTCTATTATGTCTATTAAATAGTGCAAGCAAAGTGATATAACCTAGTTATTCACTATGTGATGGGTATTTTTAGTGCTTTGCTTTGTAACTTTAGGCTATCATCCCTGAGTGGTTTCCTAATCTATAAAATGGTGATAATCCCATACAACTGTGGAAGTGATTAAATAATTTGGCAAATGTAAGCATTTGGCTCAAGCTCCAGCACATTGCAGTAGGTATGCAAACAATAAATTAAAATTTTGATTTTTGAGTTTGTGGTGAGCTTCTCATATTACTTTTTGTGGAGTTCTGTTAGTTGTTTTATAAGGAAAAAGGCCAGGTTTAAAGATGGGCTAATTATGCCAATTGGTAGTCTTCAAAGAAACTTCATCAGAAAGATTATTCAGCAGTTCCTCCTGTGAGCTGGAGGAGCCCTTCTAAAGGTATATAAGTACTGCAGATGAAGGCCTAGTAACCCTGGCTGCAAACCAGAATCCCCTGTGGAACCGAACCCTTTTTAAAGCCACTCTCAGCCAGGCTCTACTCATGAGATTCTGATCCAATAGTTCTGGAGTGGCATCAAAGGATCTGTCACTTTAAAACTACTCAGTGATTCTCATGCACAACGAGATCGAGAATCACTTCTGTAAGGCTTCACTGTGACATCAAGACCTTCCAAACTTCTGAGAAACCATAGAACCTACAGTGGGAGAAGAGGAACTAAACAGAAGGCTTAAAAGGCACCTCGATTCGCACCATTGACTGGAAGGTATTATGCTTTCCGTTTCCTCAAACCTCAGCTGTTCACCTTATGTGCCTTACAGAAAGATTGTCTTCCTCTTTTAGTGACACTCCTCTTGGGATTCTTGAGAGACACTAGTTTGAGAATAAGGTAGGTCTCAAGACTCTTTGGGCCAGGTTCAGTTGTAAAGGTGGCATCAAGGTTGAAATTCTCTTGCCAAGTCTGACCTGAGTTAAGCCAAATGACTTTCATAATAGTCTTGGCATTCCTGCATGGGACATTTGGCTTTCAACCATTAGGTGTACCATCCAACATCACCAATTGTCACTGTCTATTCTGAAGCAAGTCTGTTTACCAAGACCATACTTACCAGGCTGGTCAAAATCATTCTTTTCTATGTTGCTAGCTAAAATAAGGATTTGGGGTTGTCTAATGACTACATCTAAATATTAAGCCCCTTTTCTTTTATCTTTAAGAATATAAAGATGCATGATTCTTGGTTCAAACCCCAGCACCACAAAACAACAACAAAAAATGTATACAATACTGGGTTATATACCACAGCCTTGATTTTTTTTTTTTTTAGAAAGTCAGTTCACTATGATTGTTCATGGCTTTAATATAATAATTACTATGCAGTTAAAGCTTTAAAGAACTACCTGGCTTGTGTTCCTGAAAGCTACCCGAATCTAAATCCCTGCATTTGATCACAAAAATGCCCTCAGGAAAATCTGACATTTAACATTCTATCTCTGTGCCCTTTATCTGTGCCCTGGGCATGGTGCACAGCAGAACTGAAATGGGCTATTCTGGGGCATTTTTCTATCCCTAGTGCTTATGCCAGTCTGCCTTGATCTTTTATCCCCCCTATCAAACTATACATCCCTGCTTTGCAGAAATCTCAGATTTAGCTGTTGCCTGGAAACTTGGAAGTCCTTGAAATGAAATGAATGTCTGCTAGGATAGCTAAAGACGGCTAGCCATAGGGGAAAGTTGGCCTCCTATTGGCAACAAAATGCAGCAGATTTGAGATGGTATATTTTTAGTACACTTCTAGGAGTCTTCATGTGTTAATATCTAAAACTTTAGAGATTTCAGACTGGCATTCTCAGGTAATTACAAAGTAACCTAGACTTCACCATAGTATTATTCATTCTTCTGATTCTTTCTCCCAAAAGTGCTTTGCTGACCTGAAAATTAGCATCCTTTCCTGACAAAGAGCTCAATTGTGATAAATTGGAGAAGAAAGAGAAGGGAGCAATAATGAACAGAAAAGGAACCAGCTGCCCCAGCCTTGCTTTCTCTGACACTCACATTTAAAGTGTTAAAGATCTTATCCCAGGTCTGAGTTTTCTAAGGATTTCTCCTTATTTAATACTTCATATGGGAGCCAAGCACTATGTTTAAAATAACCTGTGAAGCCTAGTGTTGTGGCACATGCCTGTTATCCCAGCACCTCGGGAGGCGGGTTCAAGGCCAGCTTCAGCAACTTAGCTAGACCCTGTCTCAAAATAAAAAGGGCTGAGGATGTAGCTCAGTGGTAAAGTCCCTCTAGGTTCAATCTTCAGTATCAGAATAAATAAAACAACCTATAAGACTATTGTACAGATGTTAATTTTTGGTCTTCTAAGGCATGGAAATAGAGACCTTTCCCCTATTGTCTAATTGGCTAGGCTATTGGTTTAGAATTCAAACTTTCATAGGTAAGACCTGGGAGACCTGGGCTGGGGATGTGGCTCAAGCGGTAGCGCGCTCACCTGGTGTCCATGGGGCCCGGGTTCGATCCTCAGTACCATATACAAAGATATTGTGTCCGCCAAAAACTAAAAAATAAATATTAAAAATTCTCTCTCTCTCTCTCTCTCTCTCTCTCTCTCTCTCTCTCTCTCTCGTTTTTTCTTTCCCGGGGTCTTGTTGGAAATGTCCCACATGATCATATCCTGTGGAAATACTATGAGAATACTTCACAGTGTTCTGATACCCAGACTTCTAGAAGAAGAGAAGATAACCTACAACAGCTATAAAACCAACTACTAACCCGATTAGAAAACCAAGGAAAAATCAGAACTAATCTTTTCAAAGATCACTCAGTAAAGCA